CAAGTAATATAATAAAGTATCTTTGTATGAAATGATATATCACATATATTATTAATGTGATATATTTTTTCATATAAAAATTTTATTATATTCTGTACTGAGACATGCCACACATTTCTTCTATGATGAATCTTTAATAAAGTAGCAACTTGTTAGATTTATTAGCATTTCCTATTTGTTCTTTATCTTATCATATATATACATATATATAAATATATATATATATATATATATATATATATATATATGTAAACACATACATGCATACATACATATATATATATATATATATATATATATATATATATATATATATTATAACAGATTAATATAAAAACATGTTGAAATCGCTACACAAAATCTTTCATGTTTCAAAACTTTGATTGTACTTCTTCAGGCGATGGTAAGTAACTGGTGATTAAGGGAGGTTTCTAAGTTCGATACCGAATGACATATAATCTAAAGATTAGTCTATTGGTGTTGAACAGAGGTTCTATCAAAGTTACTGAGCTCGTTTGAACATAAGTACATCATAACTTAAAAATATATTTTACAGTATGCTAGCAAGTTTTGCATGCTCACTAGCGGTTCGCAAAGTAATATATATCAACTACTTGAAATCTTTGAAAAAAATATTTAAATGAATATTTTATTCATTAATTAGCTTGTTACAGTTAAGGAAAGTTTTACAAATAGCTGCCAACTATTTAAAGACAAAATAAAATGCAAATTTCAACCACTTTTCTGCACTATATAAGACGATATTCCTAAACAGCACTATTTTATATGAAAATCAAAACAAACCTCGAATAGAAGAAGAGTAATGAAGAAGAGTTAATTAATGACAAACTTTTTTTTAAATCAATATGCAAATTAGTTAAACCTGAAGAATAATATTGCCTAGAAGTAGATAATATACAATACCGATATTGCGCTTTTATTGTGTAAATTGCAATAAAGCACAGATGATGCGTTCTAATCTAAGAATTCTCTAGAGTATTGAACTGTAATTTCGTATTTATTCATACAGATTTCGTAATTTAGTTTTTACTTAATTAGCTATTATGTTTCTGTAACTCTTCAGATGTTGAATGTATGACTAATTTTATATTTCTATCTCATAAATTTCCCCCTGTTCTGTTAGTCATAAAATAAAAATAATTGTTTGTACGGAAAATAAGTATCTACGTACGTCAAATCGTCTTTACATTAAGTAGCAGCAGAAGAATTATTAGTGAACTTTTAAAAGGTAAAATTAGAATAAGTAGAATTAAACATTAATTTAATACTTAAATACAGCGATCAATTATGAGTTCTTCTGTAGTATATTGATGCCTATCGCATCTACTCCTCCCTAGCTATTGTAATGATTGCCAGACCAAGAGTCCTCCTAGCTTTAATGCCGCTCTTAGGGTGCGTTTTAAGCTAGCTTAAAATTGTAGCTAGCATAATATTAAGCTAGATGCAGTTTCGGATACAAAAAATAAAAGTTACGCCCCTTTAACTATGAAAGCAACAGTAATGGCTAGTATAATATATTAATATATATTTGGGCACCTCGAGGTGGTGTAATGGTTAGCAAGCTTATCTCGCTAGAACAATTAGAACTGAATAGTGAGTTCAATCCTCACTGGGTGCCTCTTACTTTCGGCCTTGGGCCACATCCAAGCTACGCTTGGAAAATCACTATATTAATATATATTTTTAACCGCGCATAACTTGGCAACCCTGAATCTGAGCTCAACGAAAATCGTTCCCTGAGCCTAACTCTTCTAGGGTTTTTGAATGAGTTATCAACCACTGAAAACGGATCAGTGGAGGAGGGTGAGTTGCTTGGATATACACAAACACATACACTGTCCTTTATAAAAAGTTAAAGAACTATATAATCTGGGGAGACGAGGCCTAATCCAATCACCAAAATCTTCTATGTCTGCATTTGTTTATAATCTTTGTTTTTGAATTTAATAAATCTT